TTACACTCTGCTTCTTGCTTCCTAGAGCATCAACTATACTACTATGTGATCTGAGACTTTCTAAAGCTTTCAGGTGTGTACATATACACAGAGATGCTATGTGAGGCCCTGTGCTCCTTCTGCCTGAATTACTTTTTGCTGGATTTGGTGTGTAATTTGCCTACACTGGAAAATCAGATTGATGAAAATACCTTTACAGGTTTACTTTTTTAGTTTTCTATAAGTAAAAACCACATAATAAATCAAACTTTTTAATCACCAACACTACAGAAATACAGGAGTGTTTGCTGCTTTCTCATCTGAAGTCAGTCACAACTATATGTAAGTAATTTGAAGCCATAAATAATAAAAAACTGGACGTAAGCTGTGAGAAGTTCTGATGATCATCCCTATCTCACAACAAACATCCTAGAACTGGACAGGATTCAGCGAAATCAGCAGGCTGGAGTGAGATTATACAGACAAAAACTTTTCAGCCATGAAAGGAAGTGACTAAGTAGCAAATGTTTTAGAGGTGTGTAAAACAGTGAATGTCTTGGAGAAGTAATGGTAATGGTTACTGATTTTCTCATAGCAGAATACTATAGATATCTTATAAAAACAAAAGGCAGCAGGTTTGACACAGAAATGAATTATTTTTCACAGAAGGCATAATTAGGTATGGAGCTAATTTCTCACAGAATGCAGTGGATGACAAAATACCTTGGTAGGTTCAAAAAGAAATTATCACCGTTTATGGAAGAAACTTTGGTCAAAATATGTAAAATACAAAGATGTAGTTATAATTTTCAGTACAGGAAGTACTGCAGTAGCAGGGTGCAAGGTGACAGAACAGTATACTAGGTAAATTGTCACTCTAAATTCCCCCTATTTTGACATTCTTTTGCTTATCTGGCTGCTGTTGAAAACAGGATACTGAGGTAAAAGGACTGAGCACTGCTTTTCTTCTGTTTCATCAATTGATTTTTCTTTATCATGTCTGGGACCTATTTCTTCCTGTCATGCTTGCAAAAAAAAGTAGAAAATATTTGCATACTAGAAATGCTGTTGAGAATATACAGGAAAAAAATCCATTTTTCTTATTCGTTACTTTCTGACACACCTAAGCATTAAGTATTATAATACAGAGGTACCCAAATTCTTCATAAAGAAATATCAGCTTTGAACTTCTACTTACTATCACCATTGTAGATGTGGAGTCTCGTCTGTTCTAAAGCCTAAAGTTCTGTGTTCATTAAGATTATTAATATTTGTACTATTACAGATACTTTATCTTCTGGTACTGTTACAGTTTAACTACTAAAAATCTCACTATTTTTTAGGCTCTATAGAAGGATAGAATTACTGTCTGTTCCTTCTGTTATGAGAGGGGCAATCTGTGGATTTATAGATGAGAAAAGGCTGCCTGAAACCAACATTCACTGCTAGACCAGCAAACTATTTTAACTGATATGGTTGAACTAGCTTAACTACTGCATGTTGATTCTAAATATCAAGTGATGAAATAGCAATAGTTATTCTATAGTTCATTGGTGATGAAAATACAGACCAGGAAAAATGCATGAATAGGGCATAATTCTGTTGAATTAACCAGAGTACATTTAATAACTACGCCAGCTGATACTAGCTACATTGTCTTTAGGACCCCAGTCTGCACTACAGCTCTTTCGAGTTCCTGCCAGTGCCCAGCATAACGCTGATGTGCTGCAGGATGCTGTAAATTTAGTCTAATATGACTAATATGAGGCAGCAGAGCTACTGTAACTTAAATTTGTGCCTTAAATTATCTTGCTTTATATAGTTAAATTGTTGAAGAGATAGTAAGACAGGCAAACCTCAGGTGAAAAGCATAAAGCACAGAGGCAGAGGTAGGATCTGCACAAGTTATGATGGTGCCATGTTAAAGATGCATGTCTGTGTGTTTCATTAAATCTTCTCAGTGGACTTTCCTTCCTAGTGGATTGATTAAAGAGAATGTCACAGACTCACAGAATAGCTGAGGTTGGAAGGGACTTCTGGAGGTCATCAAGAGGAGGGCCAGCTCCAGGTTGCCCATGACCATGTCCAGACAGCTTTTGGATATCTCCATGGTGGAAGACTCCACAACCTCAATGAGCAAACTGTGCCAGTGCTCAGTCACCATCACAGTGAAACTATTTCCTGATGTTCAGAGGGAACCACCTGTGTTTCAGGCTGTGCTTACTGCCTCTGGTTCTGTCACTGGGCACCACTGAAAAGAGCCTGGCTCTGTCTGCTTTACACCCTCCCTTCAGGTATTTATATATATTGACAAGATCCCCACTGAGCCTTCTCTCCTCCAGGCTGAACAGTTCCAGCTCTCTCAGCCTTTCCTCATAGGAGAGATGCTCCAAACCCTTATTCATCTTTGTGACCCTTCGTTGGACTCTCACCAGTACATCAATGCCTCTCTTGTACTGGGGAGCCCAGAACTGGACAAGCACTCCAGGTGTGGCCTGACCAGTGCTGAGCAGAGAGGAAGAATCACCTCCCTCAATCTGGTAGCAACGCTTTGCCTAAAGCAGCTCAGGATACCATTTGCCTCCTTTGCTGCAAGGGCACATTGCTGGCTTGTGCTTAACAAAGAAAAATTGCTTTCCAGCTGGGTGGCCCCCAGCATACATTGGTGTGTGAAGCACACGTATGAAGCACACAGGGATGGAGATATTGGCAAGATAGTGTTAAGCTGGATGAGGAATAAGGGGAGTGAGAAGGGAGGTGGCCTGTGGCAGGCAGAAGTGGGTGGTTGAGCACTGTCAGGGGTAGACTGTCTAAGTGGAGACTGTGGGAGGCACTGCAATGCCATCCTGTATCAGCACCCACCAAAGCCACTCAAACTGTGTTTGATAAAAGCTAGCTACCTGACAGGAAAGATGAACTAATCAGCATAGGCAAACTGCTCATAGTGTTGAGGCAGACTGATTCTCTGAAGCAATTAGGGAACAGATCTAGCACTAAATTTTGCAAGAGAAACTGATAACAAACAAAACAAACTCCAACTCAGCTGAAAGTTTTGAAAACCTTCATTTTTGAAGTCTGATGCTTGGGCTAAAACTACTGCTTTAAACTGATTTACTTTTACAACAGTCACTAGCCGTGGGCATGCTTTACAGCATTTTTGAAAGTAATTGATAATTTTGCAATCATATTAAACACTCACTCTAAATAGTCAAAGATATTTATACACACGTCTTGAATTATCATATACTGATAAGGAAATGAAACACTTGAATAAAGATGTATTACCGTGTATTACCATCGACACTCCTTTGATGTAAATAGGACTTACAACTTACAACACGAAAGCATATGAAGAGCTTGAATTCCTCTTTTCAAAAAACGGTAAAATGTTAATCAACTGATATACTTCCTTTATAACCTATCCTCTTTTTTCATATCTTGTTTCATGCAGAGAATTATCTCATTTCTGAGACTCTAAAAATAATTATTCTTAGAGAAACAGACAGAAGGCTTATTTTATCCGCTATACTTTGTAACTTCTTGCCTTAGATAATTAGGGACATTAGTTCGTGATTTGCAATGCCTAGGGAATACTGTCATTAGCAGGGGAATGTTCTCTGGTACCCTGAGGAAATGAAAAGCTTTTAAGAACAATCACTGTTAATCACTAATATGCCCACATTATATACCTTCTGGAACAGAGGATGATATATAGACAGGACACATTAAGTTACTCTGTATTTTACTTGCATTGTAAGCTTTTAGTAAAAATGTAGTTTTAAAACATCCTTTTGCATGGCTTGCTTTCATTACAAAACACATGATATCTAAGAATTCTGAAATATTTACACTTCTTGTACAAGCTATTGAAACTATTCTCTCTGATGCCATAGTTGAACTTCACTGTGCTTTTAGCATTATTATACTTCGTCACACAATTTCATTTGAGTAGTAAATGCCAAGGGCAAGAAGAAGGCTCTTTTGTAAGGGTGAAAGAAAAACTAAATCAAAAGGTGATAAATGGAGCTAAATTTAATTTTACCTCTAGCTCAAGAGGACTTAGCACCTGCACAGTTGCAGTACTCACAAGTGAGTACATAGATTAACATTACACATCGATGATTTGCAAGCAATTGCTATTACTCTTTTTTTTTAATATCAAGTATTTTCTATCCAATGTTAATTGCCTGTAATACTGTACAGAAGTGTTACTGACATGAAAGGTAGTAGAATAAAACAGAGAGAAAAAGGCTATATTTCTAAGAAAACAGCTTTTTTTATATAGTATTAATAAAACCAGGGGCAGCTCTTACTTTAATACTACTTAGTAAAATCTTTTTGTGTCTTATTTCTCTGCTGTAGTAAACTTGGATGCCTCACACACCAAGCCCAGCACCACCAGACAGCAAGCACACGCTGGAAAAGGAGGCAGACTGCACCCATGTACTGGGGTTCTCAGTGGCGATCCCTGTCAACTAAAAACATTGAGCTTGCCAATAGAGCACATTTATCAGCAAAAAAACACAGCTAATGACTCCAAGTAAAGGGATCTCACAGGTTTATAGATTTGTAGAGCTAGAAAGAACTGAAGAAGTCATCTACTGCTGTTCACCTAATGAAAAATTCCTCATGTGATTTAAGCCAATTACTTCTTGTGATAGCTGCTGTGAACACAAAAACCAAGACCTTTCCTTTTACTGACCAAATTCTTCAGGACTTAAGTTCTCCCCCATTATTGCATACTTAAACAAACAACCCCAGCATAATTTTCAACCTGTCCTTGAGCAAAGTCCTATTATACTAAGTTATAATTATTCTCTTCTGTGTACTTTCTAACTTGTCTGCATCCTTTGGCCATTAAATAGCCCGATTGCTGCAGAGTGACTGCTTCCTCACCTGACCAGACATGCAGTATTTAGCTACTGAATCCCATGAGCTCCACTGTCAGTCATTCTTATACTGCTGAGATTGCAGTAGCCTATCTTGTAAATGGATAGTAAATTCAAAAAGGAAGTGCTTACGTTCTTGAAACCTCTATATAAGATCTGAAGTTCCTTCTTTGTGAATTTACTCTGTGCTTCCAGTAGTTCAAGAGCTTCAGGTCTATGTCGTACTGTGGCCATTTCCATTTCATCTTCTACAGTGTCTGCAGAATACAAGAGACAGAGGAGGAATGCTCAACAAGAAATACAGGATGTAGAAATACGTAACTCTTGCAGAAAAAAAAGAAAGTTACATAACATTCTCTTAAAGAACAGCTTTTGCATCTTTCAAGACAAATGACATGTTCATTTTGAACTCATAGGGAAAGGGTATCTATCTGCTTGTGTGGCTGCACAGAACAGGGAACAGCAAAGATGATCCAGTGGTCTGGATATTATCACATTGATACAAATAGCAATAGACTGAAAAGCCAACATTCTGCGACGGCATGCATGACACATTCAGTATGACTTTCTTGTTTCTATGACTCTCTCGTCACAGAAAACAATTTTATAAAACTTAACTGACTCCAGAATACTGGAAATTTTCCCTTGGTTAGTTAATGGATATGAGTTCACTGTATCAGACTGGGATTTTCAGTGTTCTCCTTTTATTGTGAAGTGTATGAGACTGATGCTGCCCATTCAACAGCAGACCTTACTTTGAGTATGGTATAACAAACACTCCAGGGAAAACATGATTATTCATGTTCATGTAACTGCCCAAGTGGGTGAATAAGAATGTGGATATACACATTCCAGGCTTACAGCTGAGTGCAGCCCTAAAACAATGAGAGATAGCAATGTGTTTTTTTCCAAGTAGAATTTTAAATGTGAAAGTTCAATAAAACAGCTAGAGAAACTCACAATATGTATTTTTTATATCGGGTGCCAGCCATATACCTGATCAAAAATATGAAAGTGTATATCCATTTTTAAGTAAACACAGCACTAAACATAGCGTATGTAGTACTGCAAACTAATTAAATACTACAGAAATGTAACTCAAGAGAACACGCCTAATTGTCACTTCCACAATGCTGAAGATACGTTTTTATTTCATCAGTGTGGGATTGCATTCTTAAAAAAAAGTTTTATTCAGTTCAATTTTCATAAAAGCACAATATTGGGATACTTCATTAAAACAGTATTATGCTTACATCTTCACGTATTTTTGATCTGCTACACTGAAGTAAAAATAACTTTCAGCTGCTTGGGAGAAAACTGACCAGAAGATATAGTTCAGCTAAACAAAAAATGAACAACCTTTAAATCGATATAGTCATAATATGTAAACTATTTGGATAAATCTTCACAAAATTGTAGGGCCTTGTGTTTTCTCCTGTCAAAGAGCTGTTGCTGTTCGCACTCATCTCAGTGTCAGCCACATGATCGCAGTGTCACTCGCAGTCTTATCTCAGAATGTCCATTGCATATGGGCTTAGGGACCAACAAGAATATGTTTCTCTTTCATTTTTCTTAATAGATTATCTCAAATGACTCCTAGACCACTACCATCTTTGTGAAAACTTCCAGTCTAAATGCTATTGACAAAAAACCCAGCTGACACAACTTTACATTGACCCTATGGTGTTTGATAATAGTTTTAAAGGGCCAGTATTTGAATGTACAAGATTATAAGAAATTTTCAGCTCTCTTCTTTAAAAAGACATGCTGAAGTATAAAGAGGAAGTCTTGAAAATCCTGCCTTTACAGATGAAATTCAAATAAAATAGTTCCAGAGTTAAGAAGCTGTCTTCATAATCTATGAAAGGTGTAGCAAAGTTCTTGAATCCCATTTTAATTCTGCATAAGAATATCCAGTGTTTATTTTGAACAGTTTCTAAAGCCTTTCCATCATATTTTCAGGGATTATCTTTTATATTCTTTATATAGTCAATAAAGTCTCTATACCAATGTCATGCTGTAGATATGCAGCTGATTTTTTTTTGTCAACTGCAAGTCAACGCTGGGTGCTTATAATAAATTGGCAAAAGAACAAACCTGAGAATAAATATTGTTGAAATGTCACTTGTGTTTTATATGCCAAGTATTATATGGGATTTAAATGGGCTATTGTTTAGACAGAAAAGGACTTAACTGGAAATGAGCTCTCTAAGCATCCGTTTGTGAAACATCTGGCTACCTAGAGAGACATCTAGAAGCTTTTCTAGAAACTAAATGAATACACATAATAAATGTGAGGCTAGAGATAAAGGCCAGACAACGTGCTGAGCATAATATTTGGTATATCCTTAGTAATAAACATTTTTATTGTGTTTTAATAATTCGGTGAGAATGTAGAAGACTGCAGTGTGGTGATGATGTTGTCTTTATGTTAATGAAAAAGTTCAGTATAACACTCTTTTCACAATTTCTGTAGTCCCTTATAGTTATAAATAATCAAAAAAAAAGATCGTTGTAAACTTCCTTATAATGTACCAACTATGCTGATTAAAATACTATGGCATTCATGAATCTCTTGCAGGTTTTAATTTTTTTCTTCACAAATACATCGACCATTACTCAGGTAGCAAAAAAAAATCTATATTTTAAAATACGCACTGAAAATGTGTGAAAATGTATCTATTTCTAAACATTAACGGTTTCTATGGCATTAATGAAAAATTGGTTATTTCAGTTCTCTAGTTTCTTCAGCCTAAGAAAGTTAAAGGCTAACATGTCAGATGAAAAACAGAAACGAGTTCATATTCACTCATTAATATATTAAACAAAATATTCTTACTGGTTTCATTAATGAGTAGCTTCCTTCTAGCTAAAGACAGTTTTTGATGTATTTGCCACAGGAGCTATGCTTTGAACCTTTCATTGTTCATTAAACAACAAAATGCTAAAAACAGTGCAAAAAGCAGACATACTCTTCAAATAATTGCAGCTGGAGAAACATGTCCAAAGTTAGGGCTCAGCTGATAATCTGCAAAAATTGTGCACATGCATTTGCCTGCACAAACCCCAAATTATATCTCACCTATCTATATAATAACTGCATGCATACACACGTTTTTCTTTTCCAAAACCATTCTTGAGTCTAGTTCTATCTCTAGCACATGCATTTAGCTAAGGAAGGAAGGCTTACTAGGCTAAAGCACACAAATAAGAAAAAGCCTTCTTTGACATGATTTGTGTAATGGGGAAGCTGAAATAAGTTTTTATTTATTCAGGTAATCTTTGTTTGCACATATTGCTAGAAGTTAAGTGTGAAAGTGTAAATTCAGGCGATGTACATTTCAACAAATTATTTGATTTAAAAATATTCCCCATAACATTTCTAAGGAATTGGCATTATGTGATTTTATTGTAGGTAGTGCTGGCTTCGTTCATCATACATTACAATGTTTCTTCTTTCATGCTAGCAGAAATCAAATAGCACATTATGTCAAAATGGGATAATAACAATGGGTGTCTACAATGATACTCTAATATAATATTTTCATTTAATATAATTTTCTTAATAAGCACTTCATTATTGACAAGAGCACAGAGAAAAATGCTGAATGCATCTTTTTTTAGTACTTGGTTCTTAAATACAAAATACTTAATGCATTTTTTTTTTACTTCTTTTCTGGTTTATAAAACATTTTCAGCAAGAAAATGCAAGTTTTGCATGGTCAAGGTTATTCAGACTGACCCTAAAAAGTATTGTGCAGACAAAAAGCTTGCATAGAAGTGTGCAAAGAATAAGGCTGTGTTGCTCTCCAACCAGCTTCAAACAAACAGATCAAACTTTCTATTCCTTCTATTTTATTTCCTTTTTCTACTCAATGCCCCATCACTGGAGATGTTAAAGGCCAAGCTGAATGGGGCTTTCAGCAACCTGATCTAGCGAAAGATGTCCCTGCCTATGGCACGGGGGTTGGACCAGATGATTTTATAGGTCTCTTCCAACCCAAACCATTCAGTGATTCCTCTTATAGTCTAAGGCTATATTACTCAGGTCATGTAGCTGAAAGCAACTTCTATATAATGAACTACTATCAGATGTCAGGACAGTAATTGACCTTTTTAAGCTCTCCTATTTTCCACTAAAACACATTAGCTGAAGCTACCATGAAATCACTGTGCATCCACATCTTTAGTCCTTTTCATCTTTGATATCTCAAATACTTAGGAAGGAAAGCAAGTACCACAGACTTCTCTATAGAGAAACATAAGACAGTGAAGTGGGATAGCAAAAAGAAAGCCTATATCCCTACTGCCGAAGTCTAGGCACTTAATAGGGGCCTGTGTTCATAGCCAAGCTGCCTTGAGTTGTCGCACATTCACTGAACATTGGGAACTGCTCTTGGAGGCTTCTTTTTCACCTTAGGTTGTTTGAAGTGCTTTATCAGAAGTGTATACACGAAGCACAGGGACCACTCAGCTTCTAAATTGAGATGCTCAGATTAGTGCCTAGAATTAAGCCAAATTAATCTAGACTGAATTGGGTCCCCAGGGATTTTTTAAAACCAGTTCTAGTAGCCAAATTATATAGGAAGACGTTAGTGGTATTACTATAAATAATCTCTATCTAGACATATATATATGTATGTATCTATGCATGGATCTCCCTCCCTCTCTCCCTCCCTCTGTGTTTATATGTTAGCTACCCTGGAGAGATTTTATTTCCTCACAGCATATCAAGACATTAAAGGTAGTGTCCATGTGCTTTTCCTTTATCTCCACATTCACATACTTTTTTTCAATCTCATTATTACGTTTCTCTCAAACACAAAGAGTCCTGATCCCTAAATAGTTTGATGTTACATAGTCAAAACCTGAAGGGCCAAGCCTTTTCTCTGAGACCAGTACTGCTGATACTATCCTGTGTATTGGATAGCAAGGACACACAGACACGTGCACACACGTACACAAAAAGATACCACTTTTCAAATACATTGAGAGAAAGTATTTAGTTTAACCAGTGAATCACTTCTCGGCTAGCTTGCAGAGCGTAAGTGCCAACCCAGCAGCTCCTACGCAGCAGACCCTGGCATTGGTATCTTTCCATCCTGCTCTGCACAGACTAGTCTGTGACCAGCCCACAAATCTGTTCATCGCTTCATTTTAAACCTCAATAGAGCATACGATTAGTTCAGCAGATATCTTGTCTCTCAAAGGAGCAGTTAATGAAAGCATAACTTTTGATGCATGCAAACCTAAAAAA